CTCCAGACAGTTTTCCATAGTGGTTGTACTAGTTTGCATTCCCACCAGCAGTGCAGGAGAGTTCCTTTTTCTCCACATCCTTGCCAACATTTGTTAGTTGTTTGAAGATGTGTCATTCTCACTGGGGTGAGGTGGTATCTCATTGTGGTTTTAATTTGCATCTCCCTTATTACGAGTGATGTTGGACATTTTTTCATATGCTTGTTTGGCCACCTGCATTTCCTCTTTGGAGAAGTGTCTTTTTAGCTCTTCTGTCTTGGGCCCTTTTAACAACAACTCTTCTCCATAGGACTCTCCCGGATGGGCTTCAGGCCCCAGGCGCCAGAGTCAGAGATTATTCTCCCTCTAAATCCAGAGTAAATACACATAAGACAGAATTTGTCCTGCAAGGGCAACTGGGATACATTTTTACAGAAAGAAAGGATTTTCAGATCAAAAATTCAAGATGCTGGATGCTTCAATCCACATGATTTTAACATGCTCCAATTTTAACAACACACCATTGAACAGATGCTAACTGTGTGCTGGGCATTGTTCTGGGAGCTTTATAAATACCATTTTATTTAAATTGTGAAACAGCTTCACGAGCAAGGTATATCCCTATTTTCTTTTTTTTTCCTATAGGCCTCCTAGCATTTGAGTAAGTTATCCTGAAATAGAGAAAAATTTAGCTATTTGGTCACCGAATAAAAGAAAATTAGTTACATCTCACTCCAATGTATAAATCTCTGACAAATCAAATAATAAGGCTTGACCTGAGACCTGGATGCAACAGAATACCCTACCTTCTTTGAGTACCTACCACATGCCTGGAGTGCACCCCGCAAGTTCACAGCCTGGTAGAAGAAACATCACATAACTAAACAAATAAATTACCAGGCCTCATGACAAGCACTTGAGGGTCAGGGACACAGCCCTAATGGCACTACAGTGCTGGAGCAAGAGGAAGTAACTCTCTCTGGCTAGAAGTAACTCTCTCTGGGCGGTGTGGGCTGAGTCCCGTTTGAATGGATGGTCCAGCAGTCACCAGAGAACAGCAAAGGTGGGGGGAAGTAAGAGAGAGAAGCAAAAGGACAAGGATGCAGGGGTGTAAAAAGGCACTGGTGAAACTGTAGACTGGTTGGGGTACAGAAAACTGCAAAGAGGGGAGGAGTTGAGAGAAAGGAAGATCATCAGTCAGGTGGAGACTTGACTTGTTGACCAAGAAGTTTAAAGTCCCTACAGGGTGTAATAGCCACATCTGGTGTGGAAAGAGTCTTTAAACAGCAGTGTGAGGAGAAGGACCTGTTAGGAAGCTCTTGCAATAAACCAAATAAGAAAAAGCATCCACTGGAGGTATTTGGGAACCCAAAGTTTTGGGCTAATTGGGAGGTGGCTTCCAGATTCCGTCTCGGACAACCGGTCAGGCAGAGCACCCAACACCGAGCTGGAAACTCAGTGCAGGGATAAAGACAAGGTCGGGCACACTCCAACTTGGGAAAGCCAGACAGGGCAGCAGAATTTTCCTTTATTATATCAGAAAAGTTATTCAGATTCTCACTCACATCTTCTTTTAATAAAATATGATGCATTTCATTCTGTCAATATAGTGAAAAATCATTGTCCTTGGCTGGGAGTTAATGACCTTTTGAATTAATAACCTTTGGTTAGGAAAATTGGTTTCATTAATATAGCCCCTTGCACTTTGTGAGTTCTTCATCTCTCTGTTCTGCTGTCCCCTGAAACCAAAACTCTGAGACTTATTATTTAAGAAGCCTGAATGACTTTATACTCAGATTCTTAGTAGTTGGGCTGAATTGAGTTCACTGACCAAGAATGTTGATTTAGTCTTGTATCTACTTCTCAGCCACTGGGGAGCCCAACCTCAGTTGGGAAAGTGACAGTCTCGTACCCCAGCTATTGATTTAAACCTAGCAGATAAACTATCACCCATTTTGAGCCAGAAAGAAAAAGAAAAATACTGGGTGGTCTCACTCATAGCAGGAGCATAAAGGATGGTGGAGGGAGGGAATTATAGTGAACAATTATATACCAGAGACATTTTAATGGATTAGGGAATGGCATCAAAAATGGGGAGTTTGGGGGGTGCACTGGACTACGGTGATGGCACATAGGTGATTTGGTGATGGGAAGTCCATGGAGATTACAACAGAGATGGGAAAAGGCACAAAATGATGTAAACATAAACTATTAAAATAAAAATAAATCAGCAAAAAAAAATCATCCATTTTGGGGTGTTGCTACCATGGGAACCTGGCACCTCCTTGGATTTCACTCAGCCCCTAAGCAGGTGACTGATACCATGACCTTAGTAACTGTTGCTAAATAACTGCTGCTTTCTAGAGCTGGGGGATCACCCATCCCCACTCCAAAGTAGTGTAGGGTCAGAATGAAGCTCCCCTCAAAAGAGAAGCTAGAAGACCTTGGAAAAACAGTAGAAAGTGAAATTTTACAATCTTTCTCTCCTACTCCACCCTCCTGCTGTCTTTGAAAGGTTCCAAATAGATAGCCATTTATCTTTTTTGGCTGAGAAACAGGCGCCTGCAGCTATTATCTAGAGCATCAAGTGCAGACTCCCCAGCCTCGTTGGGCCCCAGGCTCTGGTGATTTAGCCTTATCTCCTGCCTCCTCCTGCCAGCTAGGTCTCTTGCCTCTGAGCCCTTTCTCTGCTCTTCCCTCTTCTTGGAAAGCCACACAACACACATGTCTGCACAGCTGCACACATGCACACACTTGCATGTGCACACTTACTTATCCTTGAAGCCAGTACCAGCTTCACTTTCCCTGAGGAGTCCTGCCTGAATGACACTCCTCCATCAGGGGAACCCATCATTCCTTACCTGGTCTGTGCAAAGGTATGAGATATAATATGTCTGCAGGTAAGAACAGGCTGAAAGGATATATAGTGTCATCCAATTCTACTGGCTGTCTCTCCAGGATAGCGATGCAGGAAGTTAGAATAAGACAGACGCCGGTTCATATCTTGACACTACTCCTTGTTAGCAGTGGTGTTGATGTCGTCTTTTGAGTTCGGGGTCCTTGGGTTCACTCTGGGGAAGGTTTCACCAGAGCTCCCCTTTCAGCGGCATGTGGCGAGATTATCCAGGAGGCAGAGACTCAGTTATATTTTAAGAGTAAGTTTATTAGAAAGAGACAAGAGAGGAAAAGGTACTTGCATAGACACAAGCAGGCTGAAGAGCTGCCCCGAAAGGGACAGATTTGCAGGGAAAGAGGCCTGCATAGTTGCAGGTGGGCGGTGTTAGGAGAGTGGCCTGCTCTGAGGGAGGTCAGTGCAAAGAAGTCCCGGCATGGTCAAAGGTCACGCCCGCTGCTGCCCAGAAGAGCGAAAGAGAGAGGGTGGACAGAAGCACCTGCATAGGCACAGGTGGGCAGAGGAGCTGCTGCCCCATGTTGGTGCAGAGACTGCCCTGATATAGACAGCCTCTTGCTGGGAGGGGCTCACTCCCTCTGAGCCTAGGTTTGTTGTCTTTGAATAGAATCTGAAATTCCTGATGTCATTATCTTTCACCTTGTGGATTTGAGCTTCAGGCACAGCCCAACAGCCTGTTATCTGCTGGGAACTCCTGCAGATATTCAGGCATCCCTGGCACGGGTTGACCTTGATTTTTGGCTGTGTCAGTTGCTGCACTAGCCCCTTCTACCCATCCCCTTTGAGTGACTCAGTCTCGTGATGCCTCCCCTGCATTCCGTCCTCCCTCAGCTTGGTTCTTGACTCTTAACCCTCACCCAGTCCCACTCTAGGCTGTATTGCAGGCTCTCACCCTCGTATCTGAGTGGCCGATCCTACAGCCACCAGGATATTAGGATGGAGGATCTATTCAACCGCTACACTGAGTCCTCCTACATTACCTTCCAGTATCTCCTAGGACAGAAATAGTCATTCCAATAAAAATGTTCTTTGGGGTTCCCCAAAGCTGAAAGTAGCAACTCAGAGAAATCCATTGACTGGTGTTCTTAGAAACCTTTGGTTTGTCACAGCGCTGGCAGAGGTAGGTGGGGCACCAATTTAAGCACCATCTTCAATCTTATATTCCAGAACCGGTTGGGAGAAGACCTCGAGATGTTGAAACAAAAGAAATACAAGAGACAAAGACCAGATTCCTGCTCTTTAACCAGGAAATGGACAAGGGCTGTCAGATTCGGCTCAATCACCCAGACACATTACAGAAGTGCGGCTTCAACAACTCCTGGCCTTTGGTGATGATAATCCACGGGTGGTCGGTAGGAAATGCTGACATGCCTTTTCTCTCTCTGTTTTCACACTTTTTTTTCTCCCTAATGTATTCAATTTTAATAAAAAGATAGGGAGCCAGTGATAAAACTTCCTGCATAATATTTGTAAAGCACATTCTAATTTTCTAAGTGCTTCCCCATACAGTATCTCATTGTTTATCTCAACTCCACAAGTAAGCAGGGCTGGGGACTGCACCTTTCAGATTATAAAATGCACCAACAGCTCACAGAGCACGTGACGGCCCTTAAAAGATTGCAGTCCATGCAGGAGAATAACCACATTTCACGAGAGGAAGTAGGAAACCAAAGACACTGTCTCCCAAGGAAATGCTTATTTTGCAAGGGTAAATTCAACTGCAAATAACAGACATCCAAATCAGCATGATTCTATAAAACTGAGGTTTGGTTTCATTTCACAAAACAGTTCCATTATATATAAGTCCAAACTGGCTAAATGGCTTTGGCCAATGAAGTCCTAAAGAACTCATTTGTGTTCTATCCATCCTAAAAGCATGGCCCTAAGATGCCCAAGATGGAAGCTACAGCACAGTCATCGCATCATCATCCCTGGGAGCACAGTGTAGCAAGGATTCCCACAAAGGGTCAGAGAGCAGAGTTTTAAAAAAAAAAAAAGCTTTATTGAGATATAATCCACATAATATACAATCCACCTATTTAAAGTATACAGTGGTTTATGCTATCAGCCTGTTTTGTTTAGGTTAGCCTCCAGAAACATCTATGGACAGCTTCCAGTTACCTTCCTTGGCCATATCTAAACGAAAAGGTGGCCAAATGTGTAGCCTTTTCAAGAAAGTAGCCTTTTAAGAATACCAAAAATTCTTTTACTATGCAAGAAGAGGGAAAAGACCACTAAGAGCAACTCAAATGAAGTGAGGACTTGTTTCCAAGAGATACTTCTGCCTGGCTGATTTCCAGCCCACCCACAGTTGGAAGTTTAATTCCCAATTTGAAACCTCCAGAGATGTTGGTGAGATTTTGTGACCTGGAAACCTTTTCTTGGCATCCAGTTGGAAATTGCTCATGAAATTCCCATCTCTCCTGCCCTAGAGACCAAAAAGGGGCGTCTCCCCCACAGCACCTTTCAACATGCATTTGCTGACAACCTGCTTGTGCAGTCTCACAGCTTCTGCATGAACTGAACAGACCCTGTGGCCACCTCCCGGGTAGGGAGAAGTCACTGACACCCCACGGGGGAACCCACCACACCCTGGAAAAGCACAGAGGCCTCGGAAGTTGGCTGGCAGCTTCTCCCTACCACTTCAAGGAGTCCCACCCCCAGAGAAGAGGGCTTCCACCACACTGCAGGGTTGCTGGTGAAGATGAGAGGGAGGGGGGCTCCTGGCCCTAGAGAAGGACCTGACAGAGATGGAGCCCCTTTTTAGTCTGTCTCAGTCCAGTTAGTCCTCACATCTCCCTAGGCAATGGGTTAACCTCATCTCTCAGATGAGGTGACTGCAGCCCAGAAAGTTCAAGTAGTTACCACAGCCCATGTGTACAAGTGCCCAGAAGTAACCCTCTTGCGCTGTACCCCAAAGCCACACTCTCAAAGACTCCAAGTCAGGGGCTCCATCGCTGGGCCGCCATCCCACAGCAGGGTTCTCACTGCAGTCACCTCACAGCACTCACTCCAGCCAACCTTTTTTTAAAGAGAACTAAAGATCAGACTGAAATTCTCTTGTGGGAACCAAGAGTGGGGGGCTCCGGAGGCAGGAATGGACTAGAAAGAGACCAGTCACTATAAGGAAGAACATTCCTTGTAGGACCTTCCCCTACAAGAGAAAATAGGATGGTGCGAAGGAAATGCAGCCAGAGAAGAGCTTTGGGGAAGGGCAGAGCGTGGTCTTGGAAGCTGACTCGAGGTAAGAGCTGGAACCGAGAGCCACCAAGTTGAAAGGCTACACAGCAGCCCTGCTCTTCCAGGTGCTCTACTGGCTGATGCTGTCTCCTCATCCCTCCCCGCCCCTCCCCTACCCACCTGCCACTTTAGGCTACAGCAATAGCCAATGGTTTGTGGCTTCTCCCACATCTGTGTTTCTGTCCCTTGGGCTTTGACTGAGCTACCTAGAATGTCCTTGCCTCTCTACCCTATGGAACAGTAGCCATTACCTATTAGGTGTTCCAGGTATGTCTCGTAACTGAATCAATGATTGAGTAAGTATTTTGTTTACAGATGTAGCATGCAGATGTGGGGTTCTCGTACCAGGGTCCTTCTCTCAGAAGGAGCTCTTCCTTCTCAAAGCCCGGTACAGACTGGGCTACCTGTACTATTGCTACTCCTATGGCTAATTGATGGTCATGACAATGGCAGTAACTTTTACAGGGGTGCTTCCTGTGTCCCAGGCACTGTTGTGAGTGCTTTACTTCTGTTTCATCTTCACAACAAGCCTAGAAGGAGAGCAATATTATTATCCCCATTTTCTCATCTAGAAAACGGGGGCAGAGAAATGTTAAATAACTTGCCCAGGGTCATTCAGGTAACAACTGGGAGAGTCTGGGTTTGAACCCAAAAGATTACATCCACATAGAAGACATTGGGTGCACCTTCTTTCAATGAAGGCACCTTTCCCCAAAGGACAAGCCACAGCAAAATCATGCGGAGCAGTGGGTGGGAGAGAGAGGGGGGAATAGAGGGGGTGGAAAAGCAGACTTCCCAGGTGAGATGACCACAGAGGGTAGGTCAGCCTTTCTTACCTGATTTACATACTTTCCATTATTTTATGACTGGAGGGAATGGGGAAGGGAGTCTTCAAAGAGGGAAACTAAGACAATCGTTCTTAGTTGGGGTCACCCCCAGGAACATTTGGCAAAGTCTGGAGATATGTTTGATTTTCACAATGTCTGTGTTGGGGTTTGGGTGGGAGGGAGCTGCCGACATCTTGTGCTTAGAGGCCAGGGAGGCTGCTACACATCCCACAATGCACAGGACAGTCCCACAACAAAAAAACAGCTGGCCGAATGTCAGCAATGCTAAACTTGGGATGTCCTGTGTTAAGTTCTTTCTCTTGGAGAAGAGGATCCAGCATTATCCAAGTGTTGGAGAAGAAAAAGAGGTGAGTCGGGAGAAGGAGAAACTAGTGTGGCTCCCTCTGTCCCCTCCCAGCGAGCTGACTATGCTGTGGCCCACTCTCAGGTGGATGCCTGCTTGGAAAACTGGATCTGGCAGATGGTGGCTGCACTAAAGTCCGGACTGGCCCAGCCAGTGAATGTGGGGCTGGCAAACTGGATCAGCCTGGCCTACAATCACTATGCCCTTGCTGTGTACAACACCCGCCTGGTGGGCCAGGAGGTCGCAGCTCTTCTCCGGTGGCTGGAGGTAAGTTCTCCAAAGCAGCCCAGACCTGAGAACCACATCTGCTAACCCCACAGAAACTGGACGCCAGACCCCACACCTCTCTCAGGAGGCCCCCTAGAAGCCCTACATGTAGAGCCATCTTCTTCCACTTCTCAATCCACTACTTTTATACTCAGCCTCTGGGATGTGTTAAGAAATCTAAACGTGCCCGTAAGCCATCAAGTGAATGAACAGGAATGACAGGGTCACTGTGGCGGGGTCTGAATGTCTAGGTGAAAACAGCCAGGCATGGAGGCAGCTTCTCCAGGTGAAGTGCCAGGTAGCGAAGCCTGAAAGGAGCGAGTACACTCAGCAAGGTGAGAAACCAGTGAGTATGCAGTCTGAATACAGCACTTCATTTGCAATCAGGCACATTGAACGGGGCCAGGAGCCTAGAACAAGCTAGAGGCACAAAAGCCTTTTATCTGGCTGCTCTCTCCTTGCAACCATCTCTGCTGTCTTCCAGGAATCTGTTCAATTTTCTCGAAGCAATGTTCATCTAATTGGGTACAGCCTGGGTGCACACGTCTCAGGATTTGCTGGCACTTACATCGGCGGAAAGCACAAGATTGGGAGAATTACAGGTAACCATGCCTGATAACTAACAACTGTAATTTCCACAATGGCATGGGGCGTGGAGCCAGTCCCGCGTCTCCAACAGTTTCATAATTAACACACCCCCAGCTTCCTTCGAACTCTACTGGAGACCCTGGCAGGATGTGCGGTGCTATTTCCAACCAGACCACTGCCATAGACTGCTGTTCGGAGACAACGCAGAGCAATTTCACAGCCTCAATTCCTATTGCCTCGCTTTAAGCAGATGCCTCCTTCTCACAGTCATGCCAAAGAGGACCTACAAAGTATATTTCTACACACTGTCATAGCAGGAAGAATTTTTAATCTATAGTGTAAGAACCCCAGGGTGATAGAGTTAAGAATCACACCCTAGGGGCATCCCTGGTGGCACAGCGGGTTAAAGCACAGCACTGAGAACCTAAAGCCACTTCAGCACTTCAGCCACTTCAATCCCCGCCTGCCCCAGAGGTGACCCACATGACGTGGCAGACCTCTCCTGACCCGCCCGCTGCTTCCCTCAGCAGTGTACTTCATTGATCTGCCTGTTCTGCTCCCCACCCTGTCTCTGGTAAATCCTCTCTCCACCCCTACATCCCTGGTCTGTGCCCCAGTTCTGTATGCATAAATAATCTTAAAAAAAAAATCACCCCCTCAATGTGCTGTAATATCCATCACATTTGTAACCTTAGTTTCAACATCTATGAAACACAGAAGTCTTGTCCTGAGACCCATTTGTATTGAGGGAAGGAGCTGTGCACTAAAACCTCACCCCATGCTATAGTCAACTTGATACCCAAGAAAGGCTAGAAATATGCAAAACTGCCCTTTCTTTGACACCAAATTCATTCCCCACATAGCCCCCTGAATGCCTGATTAGATGATTCCACAGCCAAATCCCCAAGACCCTTTGGCACCTACTAGTAAGACTCAAGAGACAAACAGGCAGGGCCCTTCTCAGTGAAGTAACCACAAAGATGTCCAATGTGTCCTATCCCATAGCCTTTCTGCAGTTATAGGCTTCTGTGACACTACATTTTCTCCATTTTACGACATGCATGGCCTGTTCTGCTTCTGGGCCTTCACATATGTTGTTCCCCTTGCCTGGAATATATTATGGCCACTTACCCACCCAGCTCTACCTACCAAGTTCCTACCCATCCTTCAAAGCCCAGCAGGCTAAAATAATACCTGACCTGCTAAAACAATTCAAAGGAGTTGAAGAGGTTTAACATTATGTGGGCTTTTATCACGTAAGAACATTTTTGGCAGCTACTATCTACTGCTATAGTTACTTCATAAAAGGGAGATTTATTTTAACATGAAAAAAAGGAATAATAGCCAACATTTAAATGAAAAAATTAGGAGAGTGCATATCCTCCTCTTTTTTATTTTCATCAGGCCAGTACCAGTATTTGGGGATTAAACACTCAGTAACCTGGGGGTGAACGGACTTCCCATGAACACCTTCCATAGGAAGCTAATGAAGCCCACCACTGAGGAGTCAAGCCTAGAAGTCTGAGGGAGAATCCTGTGAAGCTGCCTCAGGCCTGAGACTCAGACCCTCTCCCTCTGATTGGTGTCCTGAGCCACCTCACTTACTATTGGCCAGGCCCACACAATTCAGAGGCAGCAGGATAGCTGCTTGCTCTGATGTTACCGTGTAGTAAGCCTCATGAAGGAAGGACCATCAGCCACAGCAAAGCCTCCTTCATTTGAAGCCACAGGTAAAGGCGAGGGAACCAGTGTTCTCAAGGCCCACTGACAGGTCTTTCACCCCCAACATGGAAGCAAGTGGGACATCAAAGATCTTTCAGAGAAGGTAAAGGAAGAAAAGCAGAAAAAAAGCCTCAAGCATAAATGCTCCCCAGTTATGCGGACAGGAGCCCTCACAGGCCCTCAGCAAGCCCCCTACTACTGGGGGGCCAGAGCTTTGGGACCAGCATTTGTTCACATTTCACCCTGGAACAGCAATGTCCCAGGATTGTTCTGGACAGCGACATGACATTAGGTTAGGAGAAAATCAGCTTGTCTAGGGAAATGATTAACAACATGCCGGCAAATAAATTCTTCTTTTGATGAGTAGGTTAGAACTACTTATAATAAGCACAGTGGGTTTTTTGTAGGCAAACAGATGCTCTTGAAAGAAGCTTGAGAGGTACTTAAAATTAATTTGCTTAAATAAATCAAGCATTCCCTCATAACCTTATTTCTTCAACTGGATAGTTTCTGTAAATCTCTTTTCCCCATGGAGAAAGCCCAGCAATTTTCAGCACCATGAATTACAGTGGTATTACTGTGTAAAGGGAAGGGCAAGATTTTCTACAGAAGGGTGATGCTGTAGGATTTTCTTCTCCCCACTAGCTCATGAATGTGTACTAACATCAAAAATCTAAGAAGGGGCCCACCCTTGTGGTGCAGCAGGTTAAAGTGCAGCACTGCGAGCTGGCCGCAGCCACTTCAGTGCAAGTTCGATACCCTGCCCCAGAGGTGACCCACATGGTGCGGCAGACCTCTCCTGTCTTGCCCACTGCTCCCCTCAGCAGTGTGCTCCATCAATCTGCCTGTTCTGCTCCCCAGTCTGTCTCTGGTGAATCCTCTCACCACCCCTGCACTTCTGGCTTGTACCCCAATTCTGTATGCATAAATAAATAAAATCTTTTTTAAAATGAAAAATAAAACCTCATTTTAAAAAATCTAAAAAGGGCACTCTACCACCCCTCTCCTCCTCATCTAACCTTTACCCTTGCTTTCCTCTTAGGGCTGGATGCTGCGGGCCCTATGTTTGAGGGCATGTCCCCCAGCGACCGTCTTTCACCAGATGACGCCAATTTTGTGGACGCCATTCATACCTTTACCCAGGAGCACATTGGCCTCAGTGTGGGCATCAAACAGCCCGTAGGACACTATGACTTCTACCCTAATGGGGGTTCCTTCCAGCCTGGCTGCCACTTCCTAGAGCTCTACAAACACATCGCCAATCATGGTTTAAATGGTGAGAGACAAGACATGGCCAGCCGCAAGCCCCAGCCTGCACTCCCCACATGTGGATGGGGCCTCTGGATCCTGTGGGATATTCTGACACTGTGGTGCTCAGTGGGGGAATGAGGGAGCCCAGGTGTGAGGTTCCCAAGTCCACTCAGTAAGAAGGCCTATGGGAGTAGGTAAGCTTGGTATTTACCCAGCAGGCCTCTCCTTTTAACAAGCAGATGTCCCTGGAGCCAGCGCTCTGAGGATGAACTGAGGACACATCAGAAATGCCCATCTCCTACTCCCACCCCATGTGCCAGCAAAAAATCCCTCTTGGGGGGCTCTCCCTGGTGGTGCAACAAGATAAAGCACCGCATTATGAAGCTTTCCAAAGCCACTGCAGCACCAGTTTGATCAGTGGCCAGGGAGCTGACCCACATGACTGGCAGACCTCTGCTGGTCTGCCTGCTGCTCCCCTCAGCAGTGTATTTCAGTCATCTGTCTGTTGTGCTCCCCCACCCTGTCTCTGGTGAATCCTCTCACCCACCATACCTCTGGCCTGTACCCCAGTTCTGTAAGCATAAATAAATAAATCTTTAAAAAAAAAATCCCTCCTGAGATACCAGCCCTTCTGAAAGTTGAGTCCTGACACCTGAGGTTATTCCTTCTCCAGAAGCTTCCTCCTTCAGGGGGCTTCCTCTATTCTGTGTCACATGAGGATCCACTTAATAGTTCATGGTTTCTTAATCATTACTCTCACAAGAGTGGGAGGAATTCTTCCACCCTCTGGAGGTTTAATCAGCTGATTGTGTAGGACATTACTGAGAATCTTCCCATTCAAAGTAAGGCTGTAAATATGTCCTTGTTACTTCCTTTATTTTAGAGCAGAAACTGAATGTGGTGTTATCTAGATTGTCTCGCCACTTCTCTCTTAAATGCCGAAGCAAAAACTTTAACATGCACATTGATGACATGCAAAGGACATGGAATAAAAATGTCAGCACAAACCATACGTTCCACGGCATTCCAAATTTCTTCTCACAAAATATCAGCCCAATAAAAGCATGCCATCTCGCTCTAAGCCCACCATGCCCCATGCCGCACCACCTTCTCACAACTGTCATCCAGAACTGAGCTGAGAACACTCTCGTGATTACATCACCACCTTCACCTCTACCGTATCAGACTGACCTTCACTTTCCACATTATCTCATTTTGGCTGGACTCCCAGACTTCCACCCACCCAAACTTGAAAGAACATTCTGGGAACTTACCCTTGACATTCCTTACATCTCCCGCCATTATCCCCCACCTCTAGTCCCCAGCATTTCCTGGTCCCCTCCCAGATCTGCAGTCTCCCAAAGCTTAGCACAGGTATCGAGGCTGGTGCTCAGTAACTAGTTGCCTGGCAAATGCATCTGACCAACTACTGCTATTTGCTCTTGTGTGCTAAACTTCAAAATGATAGAGCCACTTCTGTTTATTTAGCTGGCCCAGCCTTGCTGTGGGTTTTTCTGATTTCTTAACCCTTCCATTCAAAAGTGATCCCATTCTGGTTCTCCCAACTATCCCTGAACAGAAGGTAACATGGAATCTGCTTTACTGGCCTCACTATCCCCTGGTTGGGTGAGCTTGGGTGAATTAGTGAATGTCTTTAGAGCTCATTTTTCTCATTGTAACTGCTGCTACAAGGAGCTGTGGGAAGACTCAGGAAATAGAGGAGGGAAGACATTCAGTGAGCACCCGCTCACAGTGTGTGTTCAGCAAATGTAGCCACTGGCAACCTGGACCTGAAGTACCTAAGCTTGGCGTTAGCCTTCAGCCACTTGGGGAACTATCAATAGCTTTTTGGTAAATCTACTTGTGGTCTACCTTCACATTTGGTACTTTGCATGTCTTGTGACAGTTTCTCAATATTCCTTGAGAAGAGTTTCACCAAAAATTAGATTAAGATTTGGAAAGCTTTTCTTTTTTTTTTTAAGATCAGTATCTATGATTCATAAACCTTATAAGCTTGCTCTATGGGAGAAGGTCCATTCAGAGCTAGGCATATTCTTCTAGAAGTCAGCCCCTATAGGGTTTGCTTTTTTTTTTTAAAGATTTATTTATGTGTGCCCACAAGAACCCCATGGGGTACAGGCTAGAGGTGTGTAGGGTGAGAGACAGAGTGGGGAGCAAAACAGGTGGATCGATTGAAATTCACTGCTGAGGGGAGCCGTGGGCAAGACAGGAGAGATGTGCTGGGCCATGTGGGTCAGCTCCCTGGCTGGGGATGGAACTTGAGCTACAGGGGCTGTGGATAGCTTCATAGTGCTGTGCTTTAACCAGTTGCACCAGCGGGGAGGGCCCCCTATAGGTTTTCTAGTAACAATGCCTGCTTCAGGATATAAGGTAGACACCATGGGAGTGTCCTGAGCCTTCACAAGCCCATCAGTCAAGTCTTAAGAGTGCCGAGGCATACATTTACCTAAGGAGATTTCCCCACAAATCTCTTCCAGCAAACTCACCCCAACTATCAGCACCTTGTACATTTTCAACCATGTGAGATAGAAATATTATAAGTGAGTTACACTACCCTGTTTTCTTAAGGAATTCAGTATTTTCTTAGTGACTTGGGGTTCCTCTTTAAACTCTATTATAACACACTGTTAGAGTGGGTTGTCCTCCAGAGCCCCGCCATTGCTGGAACTTTGTCTCAACACTAAGAGACCAGAACAGACCTACTCCTTTAGCTCTAGCTCAGTTATTATGTCCTGACCCCTGGTAGTGGGTCAGTCTTGGCAATGCCACCCTCCTTCCTCGTGTGCTACTAATCTGTGCTTATTACGAGAGTATCCTTTGAGTTGAGGATGCTTTGGAGTCAGGGGTGCTAACATCCTTCTGGCCCTGTGTTCCAGCCATCACTGAGACCATCAAATGTGCCCACGAGCGGTCAGTGCACCTCTTCATCGACTCCCTGCTGCATGCTGACTTGCAGAGCACGGCCTACCTTTGCAGCGACATGGACAGCTTCAGCCAGGGCCTGTGCTTGAACTGTAAGAAAGGTCACTGCAATACGCTCGGATACCACATCCACCAGGATAAGCAAAGCCAGAAGACCAAGAAACTCTTCCTTGTGACCCGCGCCCAACCCCCATTCAAAGGTGAGAGACAGAGAGTCAGAGAGTGGGTATGTGTGTGGGGGGCAAGGTACTGGAGCCATCAGAAGAGCAGAATACAGCCACTTGTCTGGTGTCTGAGGGTTCAAAAGTTCCCTGCAGTCTCTTCCTGGAGCTACTTCAGACTCTGTTTATTCGTGTTTCCAAAACTGCAGAGATTTCAGACTGATATGAACACAGTCTCTCTCTCCCCAAGAATGTGGCCAAGTCCTGCTTGCCAACTGTTAGGAAAGCAAACCTTGATCCTTTCTGGAACAATCTTTGGGTTGGCCTCTCTCCATTCTCTTTCATGGTCCCCTGGAATGTTAGATCCCAAAGGTGCTGAGCAGTTAACCTCGAGCACCAGATCCCATAATACCTGGAGGGTTCTTCAGACCCGATTAGAACTAAGACTAATCTTTGTTCATGACCCCTTTGGAAAAAAAACAAAAAACAAAAAACAACTGTGATCCTTCTGGTTGCAGCTCATTGTATTCCTCCAGTTTGAATCAGGTGATTGTACAGGCTATCGCTGTCACAGTGAGTCTCTCCCAAGATGAAGTTCAACTTCCAGTATTTGTCAGTCAATCTTTACCCTCAGGGAAGAAACCAAACACCTGCTGTCTCTGGGTTGAACAGCAGGTCAGAGAAAGGGCTGTGGCCACCACTTGAGCCGAAGCCAACAGAGAAGTACTCCACTGAAACCCAGTCCTCCTGGAGGGACAAGCTGACATCTGTTGCCATTAACATTTCTGCCTAATCCTTAAAACAGCTCCGGTTAACGTCTGAACTGTTTTACAGCCCAAGCTCCCGGGCACTGGAAGGAGCCAGGTGCTGTGCTGTTTGATTATCACCCTGTGGATATTTGTAGGGTAGGGCTGAGCCAAGGTGCCATCACCACTGCTCTGCAAGTGCACAGCATTTGTGGATTAACTGCTCGTGGTTCCCGCCAGCACCTAGTGAGGTCTGCAGGGCCAGTTTCTGTCCCATTTTAGAGAGGAGGAGCGCTGAACTCCAGGCAGTGACTGGCATGGCCACAGAGCCCTGGAAGGAGGCCTAGAACCAACCCAGGTCTATCTGACTGCCAGGCCAGTGTTTCTTTCATTACCACACCCAAGTTCAAGCTCCAGGCAACTTATTTTTTAGATACAGCTTTCTTTTGCTTATCTGAACTGTTTGCTTCCCAGCCAGATTTCCCTTCCAAGAGCAAGCAGGCCCAGAAGTTCCTCGTGAGTGGAAGGTAGCACCCCAGAGTGTTACAGGACAGGGAAAGGGGCACCACTGAAGCCCCAAACCTGCCTGCTCTAAGTGGGTTGGTTCTGCCATTTGCCGCATCAAAACAAAACATATAAAACTTTAATGAAAAGGGGCTTTAATACAGTAAATATACAATATGGAACACAAAGAATATAACTTCTAAATCAAACATCTGAAGTTACCCATCCCCTCATGGGCAAAAGTCAACCCAAAAGGGATTGGCCCAAAGCAAGACCCAAAAGCCCGCCACAAGACCAAAGCACCCTCTGGCCGGGACCCATGGAAAAAGGTCAGAAATGGCCAGACAAATCTGGGAGGAAAAAAGCAAAAGCAAAATCAATATAAACACTGACACAGTCACCTCCCTACAGGTATCTCACCCACATCTGCCTTAACCAGTCCAGGGTCAGGAAACAAGCCCGGTTTCCTCATCACATGCTTGCTGCTCCATGTGGCTTCCTCAGGTCTCCCGCTGGCTCTCCATTCTGATTCCTTCTTTTCTTCTCTCCCCTGCTCAGTTACACCCTCCTTCTGGGTGGGACAGGGAACCTGGAAATTCCCCTTTTCCTAGGGACCACCCTGTTACAAGATCACTTGGAAGGGGATGGGATCCTTTCATCTAATACCAGAGGGTACCCTACACTGTCACTTCCGAGGCATCTCTGGGAACTGGTGAGGGAATTTGGAAGGTCCCCTAATGAAGGGAGTTCCCTACCACAGGCTGCCAATTAGATGTTCATTTGGGTTAATCAGCTCCTCTTTTCAAGTTGTCTGTAGTGATTAGGCCTCTCAGATAATCTCCTTTCACTGGATCTACTTCATGGAACGTTAGTGTTTAGAGAAACTGTTCAACCTCACCAATTCTCAGATGAAGGAAATGAGGCCCAGACCGGAAATCATTTGCCCAGGACCACAAAGAGAATTCTTAGCAGATTCTCCATTTAGATCAGGGCCTCCAAACAACTGGTTGCTTAATTTTTATTGTGGTAACTAGCTCCTGGGAGTTCTCCATGGCTGTTAGAGAGAATGAGTAGGGGGGAGGGTAGTAAAAGGAGAGAGAGGGATTACTTTGCCTTTAAAATAAGCTGGGAAGAAATGAGGTCATATTTCACCTTCTAGGACCAGCCAGACATCTGAAGTGAGAGGCTTGGCCCAAGACATCTACTGGGGGCTTGGAGGTGGGGAGGGAGACAGGTATCCAAAGGTCAGGCAGTAGGCGCAAACTGAGTTCCTCCCTTTTGCCTGGGTTCCTCTGACTGCCAGGCAATGCCAGTATGAACTCACTCAGGCCGAAGAATTGCCTCATGGCACTGTTGTTTCACCCACCCATAATTATTCATTAAGCAAAAAACTAAACTAAGTAGAATCCCACCTCAGGGGCCTCAATGGAAACCAGCCCCCTCCCATGTAGCGCTCTCAGGGCTGCCCCAGAAAGATGGGCAGTGTGGGCCTTGAGATAATACAGGGGTCTCTTCAGTACCAGCTACTTATCTTGCTCTGAGTCTTCCAATGAGGACGGAACCTACATGGCCAGCATATGGAGAGGTCTGACTAGGAAGCAGGTCTGCACACAAGCCTCCTGCACCACACCTCCCTTCTCTGGCCCCTCCAAATCCACCCAGTTCTATCCCAGTCCTCCAGTAAGCAGGTAGGGAGCAGCAGTTTTGCCCTCAATCAAAGCTCCCCTGAGTATATCTGCAAATTCCACCTCAGCAAGACTGCCTGTTTAGAAAGGCTGCTAGGAGTGCTACGCCCTGTCATGTGGCAGCCTTGACCATATGCAGCAACTGAAATCAAATTAAATCACATCAAAAATGTGACTCTTCCATTCCACTAGCTACCTTTCAAGTGCTCGATGCGTGGGGAGCACAGGAATAAATCATTTGCATCTTCACAGTCTTCTTTTGACAGTGCTGGCATCAAGCTTTTCATCGAGGCCACTATAACTACAGCTTCTCCATCCATCAGAGCCACAATCATCTCTAACCTGAGCCCCCAAAGCTTTTCCTATGCCCGCCTCCCGCAGCAGTTGATGACTACTTATAGATTCTTAAGAGAACAGACTTGCCCAGCCCCGGTTCCAGAGAAACCACAATCTATAGCTGTCAAAGACATCTAGCCATACCATATATTTTAGTGCCGGGTCTGCCTGGGCAAGATAAACATCACCTCCTGAGTGTAATTTCACAGAGGATGACTAACTTGGCCCTCTTTCTTCTGGTTCCCAAGATATTTCTACAAAGCCACCAAAGAATCTATTTTCTACGAGCATACACCAGATCTGGGATAAACACTGGGAGAGTACAGCAGTGGCCGAAGAGAATTGGGAAACAGTCATGAAATGAGGCAATTTATCGCCCAATTCCATTCTCACACTCTCAGGAGGAGCCTTACCAGTTTGAGAGCCCGTTTTGTTTTGCGAGAACGGGAAAGGAAACGAACCTGTATTAAGTCCTGTTTAACAAGCACCTTCTCTAATTTAATTCTCTAGCAGTCAATCGTGGTAATTGATGGAGAGGAGGGAGGTATCATTTCTAGGGGGGGCTTTCTCTGTCCCAGCACCATGCTGGGTGTGCTGTAAATTATCGCATTTCTCATTTAATCATCAAAACAACAGAGAGAGAATTCCAGATTGGTTATCTTTCATTTTCTAAGAAATAAATTAGAATCATAGAACTGAAATCATCTTTCCAAAGTCATATGGTTTGTGAGTAGCAGAGACAGAATTTTAGCCCAGCCAGGTCTTTCTGATTTCTGTCACTCCACAGGGCCTCCACAGTGTAGGGCCGGTGTGGGTCCTCTGAGTCTTGACAGCGCAGGCTGGAGGAGGCAGCCCAGATGAGTATCAGCCCTACTCACCAGGCTGTCTCTGTGGGGCGGGAGGTCCTTTCCCCTCCCCGACTTTCTTCCCTTCCCTGTCCTTCTGTCTGTCCTTGCTTTCCACACTCTGGGCTTTCCACACCCTCTGGTGGGGCCTTGTTTTGTTGTTCACTCCAGATCTTTTCTTCTGGTTAGAGAGCTGACCAGCCAAACTGTGACTTGGGATGTCTGTCACTGACTTTTTTCAGCTTCTTCTTTGGGAAGTACGCACTTATTTCCAGAAGTTGCAGAAGTTTCAGAGAGTGCGAGATTCGGGGTAAGGACAGTCTAGAATGTAGATTTATTGCCAACTACCTATGTAACTTGGACCTAGTGACAAACTTGTGGGACCTAATTTTTCATAAAGTGTAGACAAGCCTGGGAGTGACCCACTAAGACTGTCACCTATGGGTGGGACTCAGAAGCATGCCTGTCGGTCTAGCAGTAAGAAAGTAGGTATCAGGGGTTAACACTTTGTAGAAACCAGGCACTATATATACACCATCTCCACACACCCTCCCCACAACCCTGTGAGAGAGCTTTTAATGCTCATTTTACACTTGAGGAAATGGAGCTTCCGAGAGGGTACATGTGCTTGAAAATCACAGGGCAGTCGGTGGCAGAAAGGCCTGTGGCTCCCACCACTCAGCTGAAAACTCTTATGGCATTCATTATGAAGGGCCGTGGCACAAACCGTGGGCAGCAGTATGTCAGTCAGTACAGGTTCCTCACACTCCCACACACACACTCCTTCCTCCTCTCTCTCTCACTCACACACAGACTCACACACACTCCTTCTCCTTTCACATACACATTTTGCTTTACCCACACCCACACACACACACACACACTCACATATGCCTTACCTCCACACACATAAAACACAACGT